TAATGATAAGTGTCACACCAAATATCTTTTTCAATTTGTTTAAGCGTTGTTTTACTTCGAATACTATTATTACAAATCTAGAATAAAATGCTTTATGAGTGGATCCTCTAAGGTCTCAATCAGGACATACACCTTGTGAGTTAACTTTTGGAGGAACATCTGTCCACCTAACACACTCTGATCCAGCTGATCAGCCTTACAAGGGAACTTGCCCATGTCGATCAACTCGTGAAACACTCCATGCTCGCACAATGCCTCGACCTGCTCACCTGGCAGGGAGGCAACCTCCACCCGCAGGCCTACCATCTCTGAGTCTGTGGAAGCTAGTGGTACTGACAGCTGCCTGCACTGGGTTCATGACTGAACTTCGATGACCCACCATTCTGGCGATCCTCGACCCGACCGATTCATCTATATTAGAATTATGAAAATAGAAGTTGAGAACCATCAACGGACCAAATAAGGCCTTGCTTACCTATAAATTTGTCTATGGAAGAAAGGGTCCTAAAGGGCTTCTCTCCCTCTTGTGTCAAGGGCCACCACATTCTTGCAGTAGCGGCTGAGGAAGGGCGATGATCGTCGCTTCGTAATGCTCCCTTTTACTTGCCTCAACATCTTCTTCAAACAAAGTCTGCTGACCCCCGCTGCTTAAATCCATGTCAGGAACAAGGATTGTGGCTTCCTTACAAGAGACTTTTGGCATCATCCCCTCAAGATCCAGTGATGAATGGACCCAATCCACTGACACAGGTTCGGATCTCAATCGCCTTTCCCTCTTAATCTTTTCTTTCATTGAAGGTTCTGAGACTAGATAGCCCGCTTTGGCTAGAATTTTGGGGTCAGTGGTGATCCAACATGAATTATCGGCCATGGCGCAACTCAGTTGTCTAGGAGAAAATGATGACAACGAATGAAATGCAAAGCCCACATCTTTATTTATAGAGTGTGATGAGCACAAAATCCATATGGGAAGTTAGTCATTGAATTAAATTTCTTGATTTTAGTTCCATTAGTTATTAATAATTTCTCTGTTCTTATCGTAGTTGTCGCTGTCAAGGAGTAGGGAAACTCGGGGAACTAATATGTATGCACCAAAACCGTCGTCATGAATCTCGAAGCAAATGAGCGGCTTAGGACAATGGCCAGGCAATGGAGGCATCGGGCTACAAGATCATAATCCAAATCAACCATTCAACAACCGACAACTCAGTCGGAGCCACCCGACACATTATGATGAAGGATTCAATCGTCGGGCCATGCCTATAGTCCAAGACTGCTTAAATTTTTCACAAGGACGCTCTACTATAACATATCAGCCAACTAGATTTTAACTTTGATGGGCATAATCACCACTTGACCGGTCGCCTTAGTCGGTCGAACTCAAGCGCGTCGACGAGGTGGTTACTGTCACATTTGAATTCAAATTGCAATATAGATTTAATAACAAATCCTCACGATTAGATTGGATTAAGGACGGTTTCCATAATTATTTCCTTTTTTTGATAATTGCACAAATACACATCATTAAATGGGAGTGAAAAGGACGAATCAAGGGACCTTTCCCCATTTCTTTGCAGGGACTTCCTTAATTACTTTACTCTCTCTCATCCTCCTACTAGCGCCAAAGGACAATTCAGGATTGAGTAATATTTAATTAAATTATATTTTGTAGAAAAGCTACTTGACACTGTAAAATAAATATTCATGGTCATTTATTATTTTAAATTTATGATACTAATAAAATTTAAACTCAGAAGTTTTACATTACACACAAAATATATTAAGTTTTATTCTGCAATTCAAAAAGAATATAATCTTATCATGTTGCAATCAAAATATAAAATTTTGTGCTTTATTTTTCATGTCAACTCTTAATGATAAACTAGCAACTCTTTATAGCAAAACTTTTAATCTAAATTTGAGTGTAAGTTTGATAGTAATTTTGTTGAAACTAGAGTTTTGAATAACTTCTAATCGAAATTTGAACTTTATTGCTCAAATAACTGTCAAGATCCATGCTATTCCTCAAGATTCGTGTCAGGAGATGAAATTTTGTTGATGATGATGTTACTGTTAAAATATCATTAATACTAATTTTTTTCAAATATAAATGCAGATTTTCATGCATAAGTTACGAAACCAGATATAAATGCAGATTTTCATGCATAAGTTACGAAACCAGATATAATAAAATTTAAGATTTGACATACAAATTCATAAGAAATGTGTGATTTGTATGTAACCCTTCTTTTTATTGCCATTGTGTTGAACGTGAAGAGAACTACATATCAATCCAACATCGATCAATCAACAAAATTAGGGACCTAACCCTTTTTGGCAACCAAAGCATAACCATTCCCGTGCACGCGGGAGTTGGAATTGCTGCCGATGTGCATTTATGCAACCTTATACCTTGCCTGTTTTAATTGTTGGTTACCTTTTTTAGGATAGTTTGTAAAATCTAGCATCCTCTTTCAGCTATTTTTCAAGTTGTCACTCAAATTTCAAAATTCATGATAAAACCATAATTCATATTTTTTAGTTTTATGGTTTCATGATATTTTGTTTTTATTTTTTTTCTTTGTTTGGCTCTTTAGCCATTATTCTTGCATTCCTACAAATACTGTACTTTTGAATCTGACACTACAACTATATATAATCAGGTTATATATATATATATATATGTGTTGTGTTTTGAATATACCAAATGTGTGACCTTATAAAATCTTTTGGGAATAGTTCTATGTGCACTTTTACATAAAGAATATCTAAAGAAACATGTTTCCCACTCATCTATTTAATTTTAAAAGTTGACTGATAAAAAAAATTGCAAATTAGGACATAAATACACAAAATTTCATATATATGTATATATATATATATATATAGACACACACACACACACATGCATATATACCACTCAAAATTTTGGCATTAGAACTCGGTACAAAAACATGCTTCACGAAGAGTATCCAAAAAAGGGAGGGGGAGAGAAGAGAATGGTCTCGAAGGTGAAGATCAAAATTAAAGCCTGAATGAGGAAGAAGATCCAGACCTTAATGTGGGGAAGGAGCAGGAAAAGGACCCGTTCTCTCTTCATCTCCCCTCCTTTTATACATATCGGGGAAGAAATAAACTAATATCAATAGTACAACTCACATTGTATCATTAACCTTTTTCGGACATAAATCGATGTCATGGATAACAGAGTGCATCGTAATGTAATAAATTGTCGAGATGATGACTATCTCCGATACTCTGGTGATGGGATGGAATCCCCAGTATTGGACAATGTTTTTAAATAAGAGAAGGATGGATGTTCGAGGTGGCTTACGGCCTCCTCAAATTGTTCTTAGCTTGGATACATTTAAGGTTGCCTTATTCAGCAAATATATATATATATATATATATATATATATATTTGCAAAATATATTATGGGTGTGCGTTTAGGATAATGTTCTTGCAACTTTATTTTGCAAATTATTGTCGAGATTATATTTAGCCACAAGTTTCATTTACTTATAAAGTTCTGACTTAGTTAATTTGGCACAGCTCATCCATTAGTATTATTATAATTAAAAAGATTGTCTGATTTTATAATGCTTATTATAAATTTAAAATAACTCTGTTATTTCTTAATTAGTTTATGACTAAAGGTTATGAGTGATCTTGAAACACATCATTCTAAATATAACATTTCAAACCGATGACAAATCTAAAAGAAATAAACAAAAAACATACGCCTGCTCCAAAATGACGGAAAACTTTTGAAATTAGGGGCGACCAACCCTGTTCGCGTGAGGTCCCAAGAGCAGGTAACGGTACGAGTGTTTGATATATAATTTGGGATGGGAGACCTTTAGTCGTGTCTTCCGAGAACAGATCTAACTCAATGGAGTCGCCCCAAGTAACCTTCACAAGAGTCGTCCCCGCCTTCTCTTCCTGGCCAAAAGACTAACCCTCTCTTTTTTACTTCACCATCGCCATGTGCTTTCTTGACCACTCACCCACTTTTGTTTAGTGACCATTCCCGTTAGAAGCTTCTCATCCAGGATATCAGTATTTGATTAGTTGAGATTCATCATGATGAATCAAGTGACTCAAAAAAAGTTAAATCTAAGGAAAAAAGTAAGGAAGTTGAAGTGCAAGTGGGCTCAATGAACATCCCATTGTTATACTTATAAGAGCCATGATAAAAATTCAAAGAAATGTCTATGTCACAAGAATCACTTAAATAGCATAACCAGTTATTACATTTAATCTTTCTGTTCTTATCGACTTCCTAAGAGATGAGATAATCAAGAAACACAGTTAAATGGGCCTTTTTCCAAACTAGGTCTGTTAAGGAAAAATCCCAAACTAGGCTTGTAAATGTGATCAACCCAAATTCACTAAACTTTGAGAAACACTAGCCTGATAAGAATGGTCGAATGTGATTGGTCAAGTACAAATGGCTGAATGTGATGGGTCGAGCACGAACGACCATATGAAAAGGCCGAGCATGAAAGGTTGAATGCAAGTATGGAAGGAGTAAAAGCCAATGCGACCACCAGCCATTTACCCAACAACCGGTTGACTTTAGACACAAAAATCTTCAGGAAGATCTGAATTTTAATAATGATGTGCCTTGAAAGTCTGCTAGACCCAAGCACATAATGACCTACGTCCACTCTCAAAATGAAACCGCCCCTTATAAAAGGGAGAAATTAAATGTAAAACGGATCTAATCTGTACCCCCTTAATATATCATTTCCATCAAATTTACACACACACACACACACATACATATATTTATCATTCACATCTATAATAACAAACACCTTACAATTTGATAACAATAAACACACTCGTGCACTATAAAATATTACATACTAGATAATTAAATATGTGTATACAATAGTGAATAAGGTTGCCACATTATCATAAATTCATTAATATCCCACGTAAACATTCCATCCATCATTGTCAGCAGATACTTGCAAAGTATATAATATCTTCATCATACGCGAGAATTTGCACCAACATTATTAAGCGCGCCAACTTTTTGGCCGTCTACCCAAAGCATGGTTCTGTCAGCTTTGTAGAGGATGAGGTGTTCTGTGACTTCGATGTAACAAGCAGTATCGACGTCCTGCTGGGTGTCACTCCCCCATAGCACCGTCCCAAGGAAGTCTGACAATATGACTATGTTACAATTACTCAGTATTACCAAACGACAACGATTTCTTGCTCCATCATAATTTAAATTTGTCTGCCATATTGTAAGCGTTTTATTACTAAAATAGGCGTTACAGTCTGCTTGCATTGCGAATTTGTATTCCCCGTATGTAAAGGTGTACCCTACAGGCATAAACTCTGATTGCATCAAATGGTTGGGGGTGGCCGGAGTTGTGGATGGAAGGCTTGTCAGTATTAAGCCGGCATTGAAGAAAAGGAGGAGGAGGAGGAGGTTGGAGGCCATGTTAACTAGGCTTGCATGCTATACCTGCTGTAAGTTTGTTTGGGATTCATTTATAGATGGCTATGTTTATGAAGGAGATGATAGAAGAAACAAAGAATGGTATTTGTTGAGGTGAAAGATTTGGCTTCTATGTTTCCAGGTTGGGTGATGGATTGGGATTTGGGATTATTGCATTGGTCAAATATTATTTTATTTTATTGAATTAATATGAATGATGAAGCATTGGCGTACGACCGTTGAATTTGAATGCCACATAATCTTAAAACTTGTTTTTTTTGAATAATTAGAATGGCAGCTAATATTTGAAGAGAAAAATTAAGTGATGATCCAAATTATTTATGGCTGATTGTTAATAATCTTTTATTATAGAAATGAAATTTTCTTTATTGATTATCATTATAATTATTAATAAACAAAGGAAAGAATTAAATTTCTTCTAACCTAACATCGAAATTTGAAAGTATCATTTTCATTAAAAAAATAGAATGGGTAAACCTCATTTTTTATCAACTTCCTTCCTGTGACCCTTTCATTATAACACATGTTATCCTAAGACTCCTTTCCTAGAAACCCAACCTAGGTGGTTGGGGCTAGCCCTGACTTGGTCTTGTTGACCTACGTCAGCTCTACCTAATCCTGGCTCGGTACGCGCAGGCTCGGGTTGGGTTGCCCTTTAGGTTGGCTAATTTGGGCTTGAGTTCCGTTCAAATTAATTTTAAAATTTTAAAATTAAATAAAATCAAATCTAAGTTGAATTAAACTAACTTAAATTTAAAACCTAAATTTGAACAAAATTTCAATTTAAAAAAAATAAACCCAAATTGAAATTAAAATGGATTTTAATATAAATTTAAAAAAAAACTAAATGCTAAAGAAATTTAACTTATTATCGTCGGTAATAATATAAAAACCGTAGAAAATATATTTAGAGACTGTTTATCTACAAATAAATTAACTTAGCAAAAACGTTTGTCTGTAATAAACTTACTGGCAGAATAAGCGACAATTTATGTTAACTAAAGAGCATCCGATGTAACATAACTGCTACTAAAAATGACAAAATATGTCATGTATAACTGTAGCTTAACCATCAGTTACAAAAATGACGCATATCATCATAGCAAAAGTATTCCGTCAAAAGAGACAATTCTATCAGTAAAATTTCGCACGACCATCGGTTAACCGTAAAAATTTATTGACAATCATATCCGTAGCAAAAGTGCATGTATTACACTTTTTAAAATTAATAAAAAAAATACTAATATTATTTTATAAGATAGTAAATATATTATATTCTTTATATATTTTAACGAAATTTATTTTAAAATAATTAATAAATAAATATGACTATTTAAACATTAAATATTGAAGTTCATAAAAAATATGTTATATATAATTAATAATCAAGAAAAACAATCTCTACATTTCAGTCGCAAATAACTAAACAACTCACAAATATTTAGAATAAATTTATTTTACTTTGCATGCATTAACCAAACGGAAAAAGAAAAAACCCTCAAATATATTTTACTCAACTAAAACAACTTCTTGATAAAGTTATGAGCTCGAACAAATAATTGCCATTAATAGATGCAATTGACAATACAATCATTATCCAAAGTGTCAAAATCTTCTTAAAAAAGAGGCTTCACAAGCATAGTGGTTGCAAACCTAAAGGCCACAATACAATAAGAAACCAACGGCCATTCTACAACTATATATATATATATATATATATATGAACTAGAGGCCATCGAAAAACTTTATAAAGTCATCAAAGTGAATTAGAGGCCATCGAAAAACTTTATAAAGTCATCAAAGGTTTCTCCGTGCCTAATTTTCACCACGGAGCCACCGTCCACCTGCACCATATGACATCATCAGTTTAAGATGGTAGGAAACTGGAATTGACACAATAATTTTGTTGGAAATAGGTTGAAATGATTTGGACATATTAGCTTTTCAAAAGTCATGAAATTGTGAACTATATTTTGATTTGTGTCATTATTGATGTAGATTATGCATTCTTAGCATCCTTTTCAATTCACAAAACAGGTAGTTTTTCTAAATTTTGCTTGCTTTGGAATTATTTCAGGTGTTTTTACAGAAGACAAAATGTACACAGTTGAATCAGCAAAAGTTTTTCTAAATTTATCTTGAAGTTATTTTAGATGTCTTTTATCACCATTACAAGTTTTTATTTTTTAAAAAAAGGAAATGGTAAAATTCTCACCCAATATTCAGGAGGCCTCATTTTCAAGTTGTAAGTTGAAGCCATGCTCATACAATATGCACCGGCATCATGAACCACCAATCCAGCTCCCTGTAGTTTCCTAGTTATGTTGGCATCATGTAAAATAGAAAGAAAAACTAACTACGCCACAAAAAAATAAGAATAATCATATACCTTAGCTGGGGTAGGAAGCTCTCTGTCTTTTCCTAAGAAGTCTGCAGACTCACATACAGGTCCCACAACATCAAAAATAGAGATCTCGGCATCAGGAGAAGGCGGAGAAACAAGCTCAATGTGCTGCAAAGAATAAAAACTAATCACTGATAACATAAAATGTATTTTCTTAAAGTAATTAGAAAGATGATAACGATGTTGTTTTGAAAGCAGTCAATGAAACCAGAAGTGTTGGAAATAATAAGCTGACAGGTAAAGTGATGTATAATAAGTGGCAAAAAGAGCGATGTAAGGGAAGGAAAAAAAAAACTAAGAACCAAGCGCCATGAAATAATACAAAGAATCTGCCGATGAAATAACAAACAATTGAAAACACAAAGATGAATATGATCATACGAGCACGTCTGACCATCCCATGTGTATGCAGCAATCTTAGTTGTCCAAACCGGCTGCACAATTAGTTTCATTGTTGTACTTTCGGTTTGGATTTACTAGATCAATTGGTAAATAACTGCTGCAAATTTTTCCTGATGATTGACCCTTAAAACGTTCTGTATTACCATCATTAGGCAATTCTGCCAATGCAGGGAGCGGTGGCTGCTCCATCTCGGAATTCCACGAGTAGCAAGCTACAAAATCCTAAACAAAACTCTAAAAAACTGTTCACTCTTTAATCTAAAATATGCATTACAATCACAGAGCACAAAACACTGCTATTGACAAATCTAACACCCTCTTTCATCCTTTTTTCAAATTCTCACTGAAATATCAAAATGCACGGCAAGACCCCAATATTTTTCATTTTTATGAAATTCTCAATGTTTTGATCGCTGCTTGCATAAATGCATTGGTTTGGAAGTTCAAAAAATCATCTAGGAAAGTAACATTTCAAGTGTTTTAAGTAATTATCCCTAATCATAAATATAAATTCTAAGATCAAAATCTCAGCCCCTCACATGGGGCCAACAATAACTTCCTAAAAGAAAATACAGTATATGAAACAAGCATAAAGATACATATAAGTTGACTCATCACTAACTTGAGAAAAAAACCATTAGGCACATTTATATAGAACAAAAAAATAAAAAAATTAAAAATAAGCAACCGTTACTTTAAAGCAATTATGCCTTATATCTCTCTTGATCATCAGCAATTGTATGTGAGATGACAGATTTTGAAGACTCGGATAAAATGATAGGGTCCGATACAGATTGACCTCACTTGAGCTGAGCAACTTGACTTTGTCAAGTTAATAATTTAATATCATTTTAAAAGTTTGTTATTATTTTGAGTGACACGCCAACATGTATCATAATCATACCTGGTATGCTCCATACAGACTTGGGCGTATGAGCTCTGCCATGCTCCCATCAATAACTATAAATTTTTTTGTGCCGTTTGATTTGACTCCAGTTACCCGATTAACAAAACAGCAAGTATTGGCAATGAGGGACCTTCCAGGTTCAATAATGAGATTCAGATCACGAGAGCGCACTAGCTCACGCACCTAAGGCATCATCAAAAAAAAAAAAAAATTGAAGGTTATATACGTAATGCATATGCAAAAGTAACTGAAATATAGCTTCCATCCTAAATAGATTTCCAAGTGCCAATAATTTTAGTATTATGGAGAAAGTGATTTTCAATAATAATTCCATTGAGTGCCGTTTATTCTATACTGGATAAAGTAAGATTTTGTTCATGATCGCCATGGTTTGCAATATCAACCATAAGAATAGGCTAGGGCTTGAGGTCCCCAACCCACTAACCATTTATATATATATATATATATAAGAATAGGCTAGGGCTTGAGGTCCCCAACCCACCCTATTGGCTCACCCCCGCTAGATCTGCGGGCGACCCGATGTGCAAATAATTTGTTACACACACACATATTGATGTACTTATATACATGCAAAGATACAGACATACATTATGCAATTCAAGGACATGTGTATCAGGATAATAACTTAAAGTATAGAATACCATGCATCATGAAGACAAGATGAATTAAATCTATAGATAATTGAGCATAGCATACAAGAATAAAGCTCAAGTCAAGCTTAACGAGCATTACTAAATAAAGTTAATTTGTGTCTAATTATCAAATTTATTGGACCGAGGTTCATTTTGTGTATGACTACAAATATTTACATGTGTATGTGAAAGAGAGAAAGAGAGAGAGAAAAGATGAGGTCCAGAGAAGCCAGAATGTAAAGCAACAAGCCACAGTTGTCTCAACAAAAAATAAGGGTCTATTAAAATGATTCCTTGAAAAATTGAGAAAAACAGTTTATTTGAAACCTAAACAAAACTATAACATAGATCTAATTCAATAAACATTGGGGATTAATGCTAAAGAAAAAGACATCTTCAAATCCACAAGAGCAATTAACACCCCAACCACCCTATTTGAGGCCACATAAAGAAGTACGTGTAAAGTGATAACATGCCTATAATATTCATAGTTCTTGGACATATTTGTAATGTTTTTAAGACCATTTGAAATAAATTTTCACATTCTATGAAGAAACTGCTTGTTATACCAAATATACCATTACTCCATGCATGTCCTGAGTCCTAGCTGTTGTCAAACAATTACCCCCACTACCTGCATTACTCAATATAGTTAATTGCCTAAAAATACTTGGTAATGACTTAATTAACTTTGGTTATTATTATATATCATAAAAAAAAATTTAACTCTTTCAATAATAACCAATTATATTTTCTAATAATTAGATGTAACTAAAAATAAATAGTGACAACACAGATTGATGAGAGAAGTCAACTGAAAAACAATATAGGTATTACCTAGAAAAATGAAAGAACAAATAATAAAAAATATCAGCTAAAAGACCTTACATGAACTCTCTCTCTCTCTATGAAACAACTCAAGTCTCTTTCACTCCCAACAAACATAATAAAAAATTCACAGAAGACTGCCTTAAATTTAGAAAATGCATGAAATAAGTTAGCCAACTTCATGATTTCAAAGAGTCATTGCCGCAGCACATCAAGCTGATATGTACTATACATAAAAATCTATGACTTTGTAAATGCAAGCATGTTTTAAAAAGCTCATCATTTAAAATAACCCTTGAGACAATTTTTGTCAACTTTCTCAAGAGTCTCCCAATTCTTAACTATTAATTTATCATATTCTTTAATAACACATTAATAAAAGTCATCAATCATAAAAAATTTATTCAGCTTGCTTTAATTCTTTAAAAAAAATATGCATATAAAATATTACGAAAAACATGGTAAAAAGAAGTGTTTCTTACAGTATTGATGAGATCCATAGGTGTTGGAAGAATGGCACCTGCATGATAGTAATCTATACCTAAACCACCTCCAATGTTTAAAAATTCCACTTCAAAACCTTGAGATCGAATTTCATCAATGTAATTGACCATCAGGATAGCAGCATCTCTAAATATATCGACCTAAAAAAAAAATCAATGCACTTAAAAATATAATATGGGAAAAAAGATCCCTAATCTAAAATAGAGTAGAAAATGAAACTCAAATTGCCCTGGCAAAAGTTGAAACCAGATTTCAATTAAAACATCATGCCAAAAGTTATTAGCCCTTTAGACAAGTCAACTTAAATAATCGGGGAATTATAATCTTAAATTAATCAAAGAATCGTGATTCCCAACAATGCTAAAGATAAAGAAAATCGATCAGATTTTAATAAAGCCGAGAAAAAAAAGGCATGTTAGCATGTAGTGATGTGCCAAATTAATCAAAGAATCGTGATTCCGAACAATGCTAAAGATAAAGAAAATCGTACAGATTTTAATAAAGCTGAGAAAAAAAAGGCATGTTAGCATGTAGTGATGTG